ATATACTGTCCATTTCTTTAAAGTGGGAGAATTTTTCCAAAACGTTGGCTAGCTGCAATCAATCTCTCTCTCATCTTTCTCTCTATCTCTCTCACGTCATCAAAAAAGCTCTGTTTGTTGGGGAGAGGGCGGGGGGGGGGGGACTTTCTGACAACGGCTGGGCTGCAACACACGCTAGTACCTTCTCTCTCTCTCTCTCTCTTGTCACAAGAACTCTTCTTTGGATGAGGAGCAATTGCTACAACCAGGGCTGCAATACTCTCCAGTATCTCTGTCACCTCATCAATGATACTCTCTTCTCCTTTGATAAGGCTATGTTCCGACAACGGCCATGCTGCGACGTACTCTCTCTCTCATATCTCTCTCACCTCATCACACATACATGCCTAGAATAGTTTGGATGTTGGCCTCTCTCAAATAGACTGCCCTAGCTCATCCAGAGAGGAAGATAGACAAGGATATGTTTACATTCACGGCTTTTAGTCGTTTCTATAGACGTTTTAAAGGCCTGAGAGACGTTGTTACATCTATGGCTTTTATAGGAGTTTCTCAAAAATGTCCATACATATTTATATGACTGTGCCTTGTCTTTACATTTGTTCTGCAAAAGAGTTCACTCTCTCATGCCCTACACAATTATTATGACTGAAAGATAGTTCTGACCTAGAATTAAGCATTCTAAGTTACTGTACAGTGTTCAGATCTTCTGGCTTAAGAACTCTCTCTTTCATTCATTCATATGCCTTTCACATGATTGAAAAGTGATTTCATAAGCACTTCAAATAGGAAGTTCTTATTTCCAATCTAAGATTGTCTCATCTCACCTCACAAGCCACAAGGGAAGTGTGTTTAAGTGAAAGATGAGAATGTTTATTTCCTGCTACGCTGCAGGACTATAAATGATGGAATATCATGACAGTGTTCACACTAAGTTAGTTCACACTCTTATTACAAAGCTGATGCGGATCCAAGAGTGTTAGAGCGGACACCAAACATTCACCAAAACATTGAAAGCCATGAAAGTCCAAGAACCCTCGGTCATAAGCAACTACTTTGAAACTAGGGATACTCTCAGCTGATTTTCCCCTATGTCGTTGATTCACTGAAGAAAAGCATATACATGTAATTGACAAGTACTTGACAATTCTGTTTTTTTTGTGACAAGACACAAAGGCAATATAAGCATTCAAATAATAAACTCCTCCCAGATACCCATTTACTAAACTTGGGTGGAGAGTGACTGATGTATTAAAATGAATGTCTTGCCAAAGAACATTAGTCTGCTCTGGGACTCGAACTGCGAAACATGTGATCCACAGTCCAGTGTTGATCGACTAGACCACGACGCCTCTACACCGCTGTGTAAAAACTTGCTATGGGAATAAATCGAGAGCTAGCAGCCGATAAAGAGCTTGCATGTGAAACCTAGACAGTTGAAGAGCTACAGGCCATGAAATCCAATGCCTGTATAATGTTGCATTTGAAGAGTCTTATTGAGTGCATACTCACAAAGGCAAGGGATAGGAGGAGAGAATCGATAACATTCATGTTTGCGCCGTAAGACCGTTTACGTTCTGTGGTTTGTATCCTCTGGCTTCTCTCGCTCAAAGGAGAACAGAAGGAGAGGGAGCTTCTCGATACATTTATTGGTTTTACGGTTTTACATATTGCCTACTGTAAGCAATTACTCTTCGTTCTAAAAATCTCTAAATATTCACATAAAGGCATTAAAGCAAATAAGACTGACTTGTATTCTGGGTTTAGAAGTAAACAACAATTTGGCAAAGGAATTTCCACTCTTGGCCTGAGCATATGATGTGCCCCTAAAACAGATATCTATTTGTTTCAACTGGCTATATCGATAATTTTCACTTTTAAATCAAATTGAATGAACTTTTAGAAATTTGAGTGATAGATAAACCTATTTTCTTCCAAGTGGTATTGCTAGTGCGATATATTGCACAGCTGCCTGGGAGGGCGTATATCTACATTAGATTTGTGTAGTATCCTAACAAAATAGACCTGAGTGAGTGAATGAGTGTTTGGGGCATCATTAGATGGAAAGTTTATCACAATATTGCTCATTATATATGTAGATCTACATGTAAGTACACTATGAATCAACATGAGCAGAAAATTGTTTTAGAACAAATTTATCTGAATATCCGGTTTACAATAAATAAAAAAAATGATAATACACTGAATACTACTACAACCCCAAAAGATATAGTATTTACAACAGGTACAGATACAGACCACAGCATCGATACATATTGCATAATTTTCCCCAAAATTTGTAAAGCTATAGACACGTTAACAGCATGAGAGGAACCGGTTGAGAATGATTACAACGACGCATCCCTACTTCCTGAATTTAACCACAAACTACATTTCACAATGAAAGGGCGTTTCCAACCTGCCATGGGTCAACAAACTCTACCCAGTCATAGGCAAGACTCAAATATTCTTTTCGGGAGGAGGAGGGTGAGAGTCGGTCATAATTTGTGAAGGAAAGTCGGGGCTACGATTGTTCTTGTTGCCAAAAGACAGTCATAATATTTCAACTGGAGATCGTTGTGAAAATCTCCCACCCCCCCCCCCCCCCAAAAAAAAAAAAAAAAAAAAAAAAAAACTCATATTTTTCATAATTGCTTTCCAGTAGATCTACTTGTATTTTCTAACTTATCTCACTGTTGTCTATTTTCATGTTCCTACTTTTGTTTAGTGCCTTGAGCACAATATTCATGTGGAGTTGGCACATTATGAATACTCTGTATTACTACTAGTAGTAGTAGTACTTATTTGGTAATCACTAGACTACAGTAGTATTCATATGAATTGCTTTCTAATGTACATTCTTTATATGGTCTGGTGTCATACATCAGAACACAATAAGGTAGGTCTACAGAATGAACTCTAATCATGGTGCAGGTTTTTAAACTAATGGGGCATTGCAAGAAAGTTGCAATCAATTGCAAATCCCCCAAATCAGGCGTAAGTCTTGCGATTAATTGCAAATTTGCAATTGATCACAACTCAACTCTCTTGCAACGCCCTTGTAGTAAGAGAGAAAGAGAGAGAGGGGGGAGAAAAAAAGCTCAACCTAGTTAATTCAATTAGAGGTGTCGTGGACGAGTGGATATGTCACCGGACTGTGGATCACAAGGTTCGCGGTTCAATCCCACCGCGGCACTAATGTCCTTTGGCAAGACATTGATCTACATTTGCCACTCTCCACCCAGGTGTAAATGGGTACCCGGTAGGATGCGAAAGCTAATGTGGTTAGATTAGCACGTGTGCGCTTGTAAAAAAGACGCCTGGCTGGAATGCTCCCCAGGGAGTGGAGAATGTGCATACATTGTGTGCGGGTAAGCCTGAATCCTATGACCGGGGTAATAATATATATATCTGTAAAGCGCTTTGAGAGGGCCTTCGGTCCTGAAAAGCGCTATATAAGAACTAGCTATTATTATTATTATTAATTGTTAAAACTTTAATCCTAACAAAATCGATTACAAATATCGGTTGCAAATTTTGCTCTTGCAACACCCTATAGGACTAGTAGGAGTTGCTTGAACAAGTACATTTACCAATAATTGGTGTGTATGATTAGTCTACTAACCCAAATGAGGTGGTTGTGTTTGTGAGAAATCCAATTTTGGTTTTGAAGATATAATAAAATAAGTGGTTTCTATTTATGATACACATTGGAAATTTTCGCATTTTTATTGGAAATTAACCGGTCAATATAAGAGACATCCATTGCAGTACTGCTGTGCATACAAATAGTCGTGGTCCATCTTCATTAAAAACCTGTACACAACTTGGCTAAGGGGTTGTATTATAAATTGACCTCATTCTGAGTCCTGTCTGTAAGCATACAGCATGCCTGTGCATGCATAATGAAGGGCAGTCACAAAATGTCTGGACTGATACCTGCCACAAGAGGGAGACATTGTGACTTTCCTCCCAGCTCTACATCCATTACAGTCACTTCTTAAGAAGAGTGAGTACCTGGGACTTGTTTCACAAAGCTTTTTTTCAAAGACAAATGACAAAAATCAGTGATAAATCTGCTGATAACCAATCAGAAGCAAGGATTTCAGTAACTTATAGCAAAAACTGTCATTTGTCACTGATGACAAGTTTTGTGAAATGTAGTGGTTTCCAATGGATCATGGTCAATACTCAACTTACATGTTAGCAAAGTAATCTAAATTCTGATAATCCTTTTGAGTAATAATTGCTGAAGTGACAAATCTTGCCATTGTCGTGTCACTTGTGTGAGTAAATTCAACTGAAAGCTGCAAACAAAATGATGCAGTATGCACACTACATTTCCAAGAAGAAAAAGAATAAAGTGGAAATGAGATTACTCACAAGAATGTGTTTGAAATGGAAATGAAAATAAAACACAGAGGATGTTGACATGGTAACCAGCCACATCACGGTCGTCCTCATTATCATCATTGTGATCATCATCATCTCTACTACTATCACCATTGTTATCATCATCATCCATTGTTTTGATTCATTTGGTATAAATCATCAAAATCATCTTCACCATCATCATGATTATCATATTGAGCAGTCTTTTCACAAAAGGCATATTCCTACTAGAACTGATCCATCGTCACATCTTAAGAACAAAATATTAATCACATTTACAAAATTTAATGCAACACAACACATTATAAGACAGGTGCACTGGTAATAACAAGGACTTGCATCTAGCAATGAGTGTAGCTGGGTGTCTCCAAAGAGCATATGGAGGAAGTCTAGGTCTTTCACATCAGTCTGTTAGACATCAGATATCTCCTACACTATTATCATCACCTACATCATCAACCCTGTCATCCCTACCACCACCACCATCATCATCATCATCACCACCATCATCATCATCACCATCATCAACATCATCATCATCACCATCTCCATCATCCATGTCGTCGTCATCATCATCATCATCATCAAACATCAGAATCATCATTATCATCATCATCATCATCACCACCATCCTTGTCATCAGACTGACTTACATCTAGCAGCGAGTGTAACTGGGTGTCTTCAAAGATGGTATGTAGGAAGTCCAGGTCCTTCTCATCACAGTCTGTCAGACACTGGATCTCTTCTAGACTATCCAACACTTGGGCCACAGCACCTAAGGAAGGATAGGAAACTCATATCAATAATCTGCACAAATCTTGAACACACTTACATTCACATGCACATGTAGGTCACTGTACAAATTGAATACACTTGTTATCTCACCCATCTGTACAAAGGTTCCAAAATATCACAAATCCAAATCCAGATCCCAAAATGGTTAGTAGGAAATTAACATCGTTGGTAACATCAACCATCTGCATGGTTCACACGGTTCTTCCAGGTGTTTCTGTGTGACCAAGGGATCAGTCAGACTTGAGGCCTGCAGCAAACCACTTCACACACAGGTGGAGTGCATTTCCTATTTTGTGTATCTTCTCACACAGGGCTGTGAAAACCTGTTTGATACCCTTAAAATGTTGCCTGTCACACGCAATTCCTTTCAGTGCAAGGTTTTTTTTTTGTTTTTAGGCAGATTAAAGTGATATATCTGTATAAGGTTCAAGTACACATGTATCTCAGTATTCTAGATGCTTTCAAAGAGAGTACCAACCCAAAGTCCAAAGATGAGTCTTTATCACAAACATGATTTCTTGACTGTATTGTATTGCTAGGTGTTCAACACAATAGATGAACATCAATATTCTCATCAATACCACACTCAAATAATTCAAAAATACAAAACTGCTCATATATCACTGCATCGGCAGACAGATGAGATAATAGGGCAACTTATTTTTTGTTTACCTTATTGTCCCAAGCCTGTCACCAAGTTTATTGATAGAATATTTGAACAAAATAGAAGATGTGAATTTATTTCACTTGTATGTGAGCAGTCCACTAACTCTCTTGTAGCTAAATCAACTCAATACAAAGATAACAGGTGAAATTGAATATCGCCTACTTGGTATATAGGTAAAACTGGTCTTGAAGATTTCTATGAAACCTACCAGACAATGTAGGCTCATCATCAACAAAGTCTGTGATGTTAGTTTTGTTTTAGACATTGGAGAAAGACAAGATATGGAATAAATTTGACATATCACCAAATCCAGCCATTATAACCTGTACGTGCCCAAGAGTTAGTCTTGCCCTAGGTCTTAAAGATATCTTTGAGGCCTACCCGACGATGTAGGCCCGTCATCAGCAAAGTCTGTTATGTGTTTTGTTTAATGCATCATATACAACAAATGGGACCTATAGAGTGGTGAAGTATGACGTCATCAAAAAATTATTTTTAGAATTTCTCAATTTTTTCTTCATTTTCTAAAAGAGCATCAAAAATAATGTCCAAATGTCGAAAACCAATTGAATATGTTAAGTATTGGCTGAGATATGACGATCTGAATATATATATATGTCCTATGGGAACTCAGTGTTATATGCTCTGGCTCCTAACCAAAATTGAGAATTGATGAAACCTACCTGAAGATGTTGGGTCTTCATCTGCAAAGTCTGTGATGTGTTTTGTGTTAGGATCACTGTAGAAGCTTGTGAACTTGTGACTGGCTACTGCTGCTAGTACAGCTCCCTGCAATCATCATAATACAACAACAACAACAAAGAAACTTTAGACACAATTGTGACCACTAATTAAAGTAGATGGGTACAACACTGCCGTGCATTTACTTTTCTGGGGAGTGTTTCACAAACACTAAGATCAACTGTAAGTTGGACTTAACTATGGCAGGCGATTCATGCCACTGCTTGCTCTTACCATTATGATCTAAAGATATATTTTTTCCTTCAATAATGAATTATCACAAAATCTAAATTCTGCAGATTTGTGACCATGATTTGTATGTCCCTTGAGTGACCAATGCCAGTAAATGGTGAGAGAAAACAGTGACATGAACAGCCTGCCATACTTAGGTCCAACTTAAAGTCGATCTTAGTCTTTGTGAAACACTCACCTGGTCTATAAAAGCAGAACCTTTTTTTTTTTTAAAGAGGTACTTCCATAAACTTCCTGATCATGAATTACATTTCTTTCCCAAACTATTACAAGATAGCATATATCAATGTGATGGAAGGCTGCTTGAAAGCCAATCCGCTGCATTATCACCAAGCTCATTTAGGCCTCCAAAACCATAGGGAGCCTGGTGAATGTTGTAACTGGAGACTAGATGATTGATAGTTTGGGTTTTGTCGCATTCTCAGCTCCTATTTTGTAGATGTAGTTCTTGTCAGGCCAAAAAAAGTACTTACTCCATAAAATAAGAGAGAATGGAAGAAGGATACATGCATACTGGCAGACTTTTTATCACACCAATATTCAGGTTATTCCACGCCAAATCAATTTCTAAATGCTTGGATCACCTTACCTTAAGTAATTCCTTATGGTGCATTGAAAGAATCCTTCAGTAAATTAGTTGTGTTATTTACCTTGAGTTTTCTCCTGGCATTGAACTTCTTGAGCTCTTCCACTGTCTCTAACAGGTGCACCTTGGGTGCAAACTTATCCCTCTCCTAGCAAACAATCAGAAGAAAGACAAACAAAAGATTGTTAGAATGAATAAAAGGCTTTGATGCTTATTGTGATTTTTATGTTCTAATCTAGCAAACCCAAGCCGAAAAATGAAATGTTCCCATTTGCAGGCACTGGATTATTCATGTAATTTAATCTGCATGTCTTTACACATCCCTGCCCCACTCTCCAACCTCGAGGCATACGTCAAAAAGTCTCTTTCTCTCTATCTATCTTTCTATCTCTCTCTCTCTCGCTCTCTCTTTCTCCCTTTCTCTCTTTCTCCCTGCCTCCTCCCTCTCACTCTCTTCGACTATCATCCATTTTTCACTTTAGACATTTTTCTCAGTGTACCATCCAAACAAGTATATGACATAATAAAACAACTTGAACATATAACTAAAATGACCCCTTCTGTTGGTCACTTCACACCTTCAAATTATCAGTCTCATGAATAACTTTCAAAGGTTTTTCCTAAAGTATATAACCTTACACCACCCCCACCCCCCCCCCCCCCCCTCGCTCCTGTACATACATGTATATTTGGAACCAACTCTGAGCAATGTCATTATAGCAAACAATTCTGACTTATGCAATCCAAAAACTATAAAACACTGTTTTTAAAATCAGAACACACCAAAAATAAACCACTCATTTGAGTCTGTACTTATATATTAAATAATAATAATAGCTAGTTCTTATATAGCGCTTTAAATATATGTATATTAAACCCATGTATACCTGTATGTAGGCTTTGCTTTAGCACTGTATGAAATAAATTTTGAATAATAGGCACAGCACAAAGATGGAATGCAAAAGAAAATGATAAAGAGCAACAAAAAAATGACAGCAAACACCAATGGCTACTATGTTCAATTGGTATCTTGGCACCCTATACATGCACACTTCACCGACAGATACCATGTCCCATACATGTAGAGTACTACACAACAAACCACTGCAGTCCCACTGTATCACATTGGTTGCTGGCTACAAGATACTTACCTCAAAACCCTAGCAAAAACAACATCATAGACACACATAGGCCATACTCACAACAAGGTGATATAAACATCAACAAATGAGATGATAAAGCTTTAAAAAGAACCAAAAGTAGAGTAGTTCTACAGGATTGTGAAGATATCCCCCTAGTCTATACTTGCAAATGACTTGAAGCATAGCTTACGCAATTAAGATGCTCAAATGGGATTCTTTTTAACAAATTGATTGAAAATGCAGTTTTATGACTAGTTGTTGACTTAGAAGCCATAAAAATGCTCACTTGTAGGAATGCCAATACTATACTCTAGGAATGTAAAACTGAGGAACTGATGTTTTCAAGTACAAAGCCGATGGCATATGTTTGTTCCTTATTTGTTCTTCACCCTTTGTTTTCCTGTATGCATTATTCTCCTTTGCTTTCTCTTCCTTCTCCCCTGCTAATCCTACTATCCTATTCCATTCCTGTCGTATCCTTCTGTTCCTTTCTTCTTTCTTTTATCGATGGGTGGAGTTGAACTTACTTCCTATTTTGAATTACCCACCGGTAAACATTCCAAACATGACAAACTTACTTACACTTCAAATCGTTAACATGTTAATAGGGCCGATTCTGATTACTTAAGCTCTTCTCAAGTGCTTCATCCTCATGTCTTTCAAACCCTAATTATGGTTGTAATTTATCCATATCCAGCTAATTCGCATATATTCTACCCAATCAACAGATATCTTGACAAGATGGAATGATTTATTATCACATGGTCTTAAACCAATTTGTCTAGAAATATTATCCAGCTCATCTTCTCTCATTTTGTCATATTTCCTATTTATTTATTTACCAGTAAGTGTCATTTCCGTGGTATAATGTTTCCCTTCGGTGTGATGACAAGTTAGATTACTAATCATTTCTAGTCAATAGTCTAATACTCAATGCTGTGGGAAGCCTCCGTTGGCCCAAAAGTCTGCAACTTTTAATTTGATGTTCTTCAGTAAACAATAGTGACACGTTTAACTTGTGGCCTGGGTGAATTTCTGTTTCATAAAAGGGCAAATTAGAGTGCAATATATTTCACAGCCTACAAATACAAAATTATTGCAGTCTCCAAGAACAGTATCACATATTTATGTCACAACATGTTACTGGGACAGAGTAGAATTATCCAGGATCGGTAATAGGAAACCCCATAAGGAAGAGAACTTTTGGATAAATGCCATTTGAGTGGTCTAACTTTCAGAGCTTTCTGCATGCTTATTATCCACTACAGAAAACAATATTTACAGACTCATATTTCATTCTTGTACTATTTTAAGCATTGCAAGAAGTTGTTATTAAAATGTGATCAGTTTATTAAAGTATGTGCAGAGCATGGGTGCAGCGCTTTGTAACTGCAAGGAAAAGGCGCTATATCAAATATCTTTTGGATTGGATTGGATTGGATTGAATGCTTGAATGCTTGAATGCATGAATTTAGCATGAATTTGCATTTGCATATATTATGTTGTATATGTGCTATTAATCTATATGAATAAAAAAAGGTCTGATCAACGATCAACATATTAGTTCATTGCATAACACGTTCAGAACTCGTATTAGGTGGCTATGAACTTGTTTCTTTCGTTGATGTTGTGTTTGTTTTTTTGTTTTTCTTTCTTTTACTATTTAAAAAAAATTATAATAATTATTTTAAAAAAAAAATTTCACCTAAAATTGTTTAAAATATAATTTTAATTCTGAGATATAATCTGTTGGGATCCAGAAGGGCATTAATCCTGTGTTACACATAATGAGTTAATGCCCTTCTGGCTCTCAACAGACCATATCATATAGTGATGATCCTAACTTATAGCCCTATTGAAGTCGATGCACTAGTGCCCTTTGGTAAGGCATTAATCCTCATTACCAAGGCCCTTAATGGGGACCTAAAGCCATCGGTCCCCTGGTTGATAACTTAGAAGCATACATACATTTATGCTTTCTTAGCGACAACAAAGAATTCATAATGCAAATATTTGATTCTACCTTTCACAAATTATATGACATGAGGCAATTTTGAATAACATAAGAAGCATGAGCATGTACTGTCGTTGGCAGATGAGAATATTTAATATATACATGTACATGTAGATATGACAGACGTAGAAGTCAGTCCCTTGAAGATCAATTTCAATTCAGGGTCCTGTTTCATAAAACTTGTTACTAATAACAGATGCTAAATTTCTATGACAAATTTGCTCTTAGCCAATCAAATGCCATGATTATAGTAGCTTATAACAGTTATTGTAACTTGTTATTGATAAGAAGTTTTATGAAACCGGGCCCTAGTCATGCAATTGCATGGTAAAAGAAACTGTGGTATTGATTTGAAAGTATGGTCATGTAGCAGATTAAGTATGGATGAATTCTTTGAGGTTTTGGAATCATAGACATGATAAGAAATTGGCTGTCTTGATAAAAAAAAGTTACATGCACTTAACACAAAAATGTGTATATGAGACTGCACAAACTCGTGGCATGAAAGTGTGGTCCACAACCATTAGCTGGTTACTTGTCATATTTAGAGTAATGAGCATTTAAAGAGCAATCCTCCTCAAGGGGACATATGCAGTATGATATTCTTCCACGTTAATATTAAAGAATGTGAAAGCTTACAAATTATTTTTCACTTATAGAGTGGTGACGTCATAAAAAAATCTATTTTTAACATTTTCTCAATTTTTTCTTCATTTTTCGAAAGAGCATCAAAAATAGAATTATAGCTTTTATAGTTCATAACATTGAGTTCCCATAGGACATCTATTTATTCAGATAGTCATATCTCAGCCAATACTTAACATATTTAATTGGTTTTCGACAGTCGGACATTATTTTTGATGCTCTTTTGGGAAATGAAGAAAAAATTGAGAAATTCTACAAAATAGATTTTTATGATGTAACAGCTTGGGTACTTATACCAGCATTCTACCCTTTCTGCAAAGTGCCCTTTGAGTTATCAGCTGGTAATATATCAATCTAACCAATTCCAAACCGACACACACACACACAGCAAATCCACACTGATAACACGGCAAACATGGCGATAAGAATGGTTACATGTGAATGTGTACACGGCACAGCACACATTGTTTAACTTGGGGATCATTGGGTGTTTCACATCACCCTCCAATTACCGTTGGGGAAGGTGGACCTACCCTTAGCCAAGGGTGTGCGAGGGCCTCCTCCACGGTGATACGCTGTCGAGGGTCAACTGACAGCATGCTGCGGATCAGCTCCTTAGCATCGCCAGAGATGTGATCCCATTGACGGGGCTTCATCTGAACAATCACAAAGGTGATAAACAAAGGGGAAATAGTTCAAATATATTGTTTGATAATGCTTGAAAGTAATGCCCTCTTGTTCAAGTGTGCATCAAAAAGACCAAATTACCAAAACAAGATTCTGTAAAAGCATGTTTGGTGTTTCACACAATACTTGTATATACTTAAATCAGCTTCAATTGCAGATTAATGACTTGAACAAAGATAAAATATAGATAAAATGACTTGAACATTAACACATCAAAGTTATTACATTCACTCATTTTTCGTTCTTACGATTTTTAATCCTGAACTATTTAAATGATTTTCAGGGTGATCTTTAAGGGATAATTTAAGTTTAAAATGATGCATGAATTAGTTTTGTGAGGTGGTTGTTATTGTTGGTGAAATAACAAAGGATTTTAATTGCATTTATCATAACATGAAATATTGATCTTACATTATATCTGCCTTTGGTGATCATATCAAAGAGTCTATCCTTGGTGCCAAAGAATGGTAGTGAACCACTGAGTAAGATGAAGAGCATCACACCGCATCCCCAGATATCTACAGGTTTACCGTAGGGTTCACGACGCACCACCTCCGGTGCCATGAAGTGTGGTGTGCCAATACGACCTGGAAGGGGGAATGGAGCATGTATGGAGATTAGTATTATATTACATGTATTCCCATCATTTCTAAAATGGTCGACCTACATGTACAGTGTACAAATATACAACCCATGCACATTCTGGTAAAAGTTATTGTTTAACAATGTTTCCAGTTTTACAAATCTGAGATGCATGGCCCTACTTGTTATCAGTGTCAGTGATATGGTGTAATATTGAAGCCCTAAAAAAATTGCACTTCAAAATAATCATGAAGTGCCTCAAAAAAAAACACCTTTGAGTGACAGGTTTTACCATACTCATTTTTCCCCAAAAGACTACCGTAATTAACGGTGTATAAACCGCACCTTTTTGCCACCGAAAAAATTCAAAGTCGGGGGTGCGGTTTATACTCGGTACACCAACAAAAAAACAAAAAAGTTAAAATTAAGTTTCGATTTATGCCCCAATCCCTTTAACTCTAAAGAATCTTTGAGCTTTGAGTAGATTCAGTAGTTGTATCACTGAAATTCAGCGTTGGATGAATGCGAACAAGCTCAAACTCAACGATGGCAAGACAGAATTCTTTGTCTCTGCTTCACCGCATCATCGGTCATCCCATCTAATGAATGATGTCAAACTGATGATTGGTGAGAAATCCTTCCCACCATGTAAGTCCATCCGCAATCTGGGAGTAACACTTGAACCATCTGTGAACTTAAGTCTTCATGTTAACCTTCTCAGCAGAAGCATCAAGTACCACCTACGTAACCTGTGGAGGGTGAGGCGGTTTATTGATCAGTCAACATGCCACGCTGCAGCAAGGGCTCTCGTCCTTTCCAGACTAGACTACTGCAACAGTCTCTTCAGTGTTCTCAGCCAGAGGGACCTTGATCGTCTTCAGAGACTCCAAAACTCAGCGGCAAGGCTTGTCTTTTCTGCTCCTCTTCGGACTCACATAACACCACTTCGACTTGAATTCCATTTGCTGCGTGTACGACAGAGAATAGCTTTTAAGATCCTACTACTGGTCTACAAGTCTCTCAACCACCGATGTCCCCCGTACATAGCTGACTGCTTGGTTCGTCGTCCTCGAGTCCGAAATACCCGCTCATCATCATCCATCTGGCTCACTCAGTGTCTCTCTAAGAAACGTGCTGGTGAATTGTCTTTTCCATCGGTTGCTGCAAAACTGTGGAACCAACTACCTACTGCTGTGCAGACGGCCTCATCTGTTGACCAGTTCAAGAAACTACTCAAGTCACATCTTTTCTGCTAGAAATTACTTTATTACCAGCCTACATTGGATTGAGTAGTCAAATATGCAAGGCCAGTTGAGACAATTCAATTTCTTTGCTTCCATTGGTTCAATCAAGAGATGGTATTCAATGGGGTCAAAGGTCTTTCATGAATTGAGTATGACAATGAATTGGTCCATTGAGTATAAATGCCATAACTGAGATGGTTTAGACCCAATGATCTCCAAGCTCCAAGATGTTGTCCTATCTGCTTAGCTCTTAAATAACCTCTAAAGTCATTAGGGCAAAGACCTTCAATACTCATGGCTCGATACCATTTTGAATTAAATTCTGGACTGACATATTTGGGGTCTTCAAGAAACTGACCTACATCTTAAAAAGTCTGGGGTCGAGAATGAAAATGATAAAAGGGACATTTATGTACTGGACTCTCATCAGTGCCAAGCCATGCGAAAATTGAAATAATGACTTTTTGTCCATCTTTCTTGTAAAACTTATGTTACAGTGATAATCAGCACCCCTGCTTATATTCTAAAGCTGCAAGCGTTATTGACATGCCTATAACTTGAATGAAAGATTCCAAAATTCCTTAAAAGCATCATCCAGTCCTAGAAGACTTACCTTGTGCGACGAGGCCTGATCATAGCAGTGGGATAGCGTTACCAACCCTTCCTCGTTGACTGGTATTTGGTTAATTGTTAAGCAGTCCTAAAACTATCCATAAACCCTTTTAACAGTCCTAATACCATACACACAACCTTTGAACAATCCTAAAACCATTTGAAAACCCATTATACAGTCCAAAACCATCCACCAACATTAACATCCCTAAAAACATTGTTACAGTCCTAAAAAACATCCACAAACCCTTTGAAAAGTCCTAAAACCATCCAAAAACCCTCTGAAAATTCCTTAAACCATCCACAACACATTAAACATTCCCAAAACCATCCACGAACCCTTTTAAAAGTCTGTAAAGCAGCCACAATCCCTTTAAACAGTCCTAAAACCATCCACAAACCAAACAGTCCTAAAACCATCCACAAACCCTTTGAAAAGTCCTAAAACCATCCACAATCCCTTTGAACAGTCCTAAAACCATCCACAAACCCAAGCTTACCTCCTGCAATGAGGCCTGATGATGGTAGTGGGATAGCGATACCAAACCCTCCTAGTTTGACTGGAGCAGAGTTCTCCTTGGTAGCTAGTAATACACAGTGAGGCTACATGAAAGATAGAAGAGTATAACATTAGCAGGACAGTGTATATCTGTGGAACTGTAAAGTGTGGGCATCAAAGCACATAAAGTTCTAGAGAGTTTAAAAGTATAACAAAGAATTATGTTTATCCAAAGAAAGAAGTGATTTAGAGAATAGTAATAATAATAATAAAAACATTGTTTATAAAGCGCTTACCACCGAGGTCTCTAAGCGCTAAAACGAACAAAATACAATGATAAACAATTACATATTGAACAAAACAAAAAAATACAAATAAATGTATAAATTACAATACATATGAAATATACATCAATGCAGGAAGCTGTAATGAATGGAGATGCCGTCTCGAAAGAATTTACCGAGGGAAAATTATTCAAGATTAACCTGGCTTAACAAAAAGAAATGTAACCCTCTCCAGCCATCATTTCCATCAACAGCTGTCCATATCAATGCACAGTCCCTCTCTGGCATTCCAAATAGTACGAAATGTTACGCAACGCCATCTGCTTCCCTAAGTTCTCTATTCACTCTTTTGCAAAAATATGCAAGCATCGGGCTTTGAAGCCATGCGTGGCACCGACAAATTAAGTCATGTTCAGGGAAGATGTATTTAGCTATAACATATAAAATGCAGAATTCACAACATATGACCAATGCAACTTTCTATTAGTCATCAAATGAGTTTTCCGTTCTCGGATAGCTCTACTGAAGACATGGCCATTTTAACCAGCGAAATCGACCAAGGAAATCACGAGTTAGAACGAATGAAAGATTTTCATCATCATGCTTTTCTCATCTAATTATTGACATTTTCCGAAAATTTCCGAAATTTGTACATAGCTAGGAAGGTAGTCCAAAGGTTCATCTTCCTAAAGAACTAAATGAAATTGTGTTATTTGTTTGCGCATTTATTGATTTAGGGCTAGAAGTTGTCAAGTTAGCACCACTATTCACCCAAAGTACGGGCCGGCAAAGCAAAAGCCGCCGTGCTCGCTTGGCTGGGCTGTGTGTGGAAAGGGAGGACTTAGTGCTACTAGGGAGCTGTACGGTTTCGGAGGGGGATTAAGGGGATTACGGTAGGGGAAACAAAAGACGCGCGGTGCCACGGATGACTTCAAAGGGGCCTCTTGGACGGGATCTCCATTCATTACAGCTTCCTGATCAATGTTAACAAATTAAGTTTATAATCAAAAGCAATTTTGAATATCGGTAAATGTTTCTAAAGACAGAACAGAACATAGGGAGCAAAACGGCATTAGGACAATATATTTCTTTTTATCTTAATTACATCTGAGCACTTGATTAAGTTTCGGTTGTCATTTTTATGACAGAAAATAAAAAAAGCGAAGTTTAGAGCGGGTAAAAATAAAAACACTCTAACAAATCAGTCTTCACAGATTAAGTCACGGTTTCTGTGCAAGGCGAAAAAAGGATATGTTTAAAACTTTGCACTCTAGCAATGTTATTGCCAGGTTTGTTATTGCCAGGTTTTTTTCATGGAAAATTCAGTATTGTGTGCGAGGCTGCGCGATGCAAATTGCTTTCAAATCAAATCACAACCAAGGAACAAATCTCTATTCCCCTCTCAGAAGAGAGAAAGAGAGACAGAGAGACAGAGAGACAGAGAGACAGAGAGAGAGAGAGAGAGAGAGAGAGAGGAGGGGAGACAGAGACAGAGATAGAGACAGAGACAGAGACAGAGATAGAAAGAGAGAGAGGGAGAGAGAAAGAGAGAGAGGGGGAGAGAGCAAAAGAGAGAGAGGGGAGAGATCGAAAGAGAGAGAGAAAGTTAAAGAGAGAGAGAGAAAGATAAAGAGAGAGAGAGAGAGAGAGATAAAGAGAGAGAGAGAGAGATAAAGAGAGATAAAGAGAGATAAAGAGAGATAAAGAGAGATAAAGAGAGAGAGAGAGAGAGAGCCAGCTATGGGGACGGAAAAACATCTAGTCCAGTTTTGAAAGATGAAGGTCATGGAGAATTGAATCATCTCAGAGACCAAGTCATCGAATAATGTATGAATCATTACATCCCTCAAGAAAACTACATCTTACTTTCTATGCATGTCTTTCAGCACTCGTTATATAGTCTCTAAATTAAGACCTTTTACATTAGGCTGATTGCTTAACTTATAATAGCACACACAGTGTTTGAGGTATGTGTAATTGACAAAATTCTGAGGATAGTTTCTCCTCTTGAAATCAAAAATTAATTGGGAAGTTGGATAAGAAGAAACACAGTTTTATCCAGATACACTATGGGAAAAAAGCATGATTTAAAATGTGTTTTACCAAGATGGGACTATAAGGTGTAAGGTTCAAGTCACAATTCACAAAGCTTCAAACTATGATGCACAGTAATGTATACGCCTAGATAATCATAGTACAACCTGAATGGACAGATAAAAGTACACAAAGATATTCCATGCACATTGCAGAGAACATTAGATAGGAATCTAGAACAAGAAGACTAGTTTCTTAGACTAACTCACCTTAATGTCACGGTGGATGATATCGTTGTCATGGCAATACCGTAATGCCTCCATGATCTGTCTCATGTAATGGCTGCAAGGAAGGAAACATACAAATTGATTTATCAAATGTGATTCATAAATAAAACTTCTTCTCCCTATTCCCCAATATCAATTTTGCTCCAAGGTAGCTCAATATGCTTTAGCCTGGTTGGGTAATTGTTTTGTTTGTGAATATCAAATTAAATCTCAAAATCGTAACATAGATAATGAAAAATATATAAAGTATGTATTGCATGTGGAGATGGAGACAACCGATGAGGAGGAAATGCTGATGGGAACTGAAGTATAATCATATAAAATATAAATACGGAGAACTATAAGGTCATGGAAAGAAATCAAGATCAAACGTAGGAGATTAGAAGAGAGGGTTACTGACTGGTATAGACAAATAATAGTTGAGAATGGAGGAAGAAAATAAGAATAATAAAGAGAGAGAGATAAAATCAGAAATGAGGTAGAAAAATATTATCGTTGAGAAATATGAAACTAAAGAAGGAGAAAAGAAAAGGGGAAGAGAGGAAGGAGATAAAGGGATCAATAGAGAAAAGGAGAAAAGGAGAAAAGGATTACAGAGAGTAAGAAAATGCAGAAAGTGGAACGATAATGTGATATAATATAATGTGATATGCACTATACAAGAACCGAATATTATTATTATTATTATTATCATTAAAGAGAAACTAACAGGATTTAAATAAATATATATAAATCATTTTTGATGGTGAAAAGGGGAGACTAGAAAAGAAACAAAGATGAAGAGGGATCGCAAGAGAGAAACGGACAATGGAAATAAATAAAGGGGACTTAGAAATAGGAAGAAGGATAGAGGTATTGGTGAGTAGAGAAATAGAAGAGAGAAAGGAAGAGAAAGAGGGAGGGAAGGATGAATTGTGCAAAAAGAAAAGGATGCTGAAAGAAGGGAAAGGAGGAAGGAATGACAGAAGATACTAAGGTGTCAAATATGTATAATCATTTGGTGTCACATTCAATTGAGAAGGACTGAAAACATTCTCATAGCTGCCTGCACCCTAGCACAAGACTGACAGGAGAGTGCAGTATTCCAAGCCATGCTCCTTAATATACCCTGGGAATAATCCTCTTTAGGTAACTAAACAGCTAGGATCAAGGCATCCTCCAATATATTAAATATTCTTTAAGAATGAAAAATGGGGGTAAATGGAGAAAGAGGAAAGGGATCAAAAGAGAGAAAATGAATATAGGGAAATGGGACAGGGAAGGGGTGGAAGTGAACGACCATGGCTCCCTTTTTCCCCTTCCTGAGGAATAGGGTTAAACTACAGCAACATAAATGGATATGAAGGGAGGGAGAGGAAGAGGAAAAGGGAGAAAAAACTATGAGATGCTTGGATTTTGAAATAAAGAGAGAGAAAAGGAGGAAAGTAAAAAAGATATAAGCATGATAAAGCAAGATGAAAGAGAGAAATGGAGAGAGAAAAGGAGAGAGAGAATGAACGAATTACAGAAGATTTTGAGATGTCAAAGATACATAATAACTAGGTGTCACATTCAAATGAGAAGGACTGAAAACATTCTCCTAGCTGCCTGCACCCTAGTGCAAGACTGACAGGAGAGTGTCTAGTATTCCAAGCCATGCTCCTCGATCTACCCTGGGAATAATCCTCTTTAGGTAACTAAACAGGATCAAGGCATCCTTCAATATTTATTAAATATTCTTTAAGAATGAAAAATGGGGGTAAATGGAGAAAGAGGAAAGGGATCAAAAGAGAGAAAATGAATATAGGGAAATGGGACAGGGAAGGGTGGAAGTGAACGACCATGGCTCCCTTTTTCCCCTTCCTGAGGAATAGGGTTAAACTACAGCAACATAAATGGATATGGAGGGAGGGAGGGGAAGAGGCAAAGGGAGACAAAACTATGAGATGCTTGGATTTGAAAAATAAAGAGAGAGAATAGGAGGAAAGTAAAAAAAAATAAGGATGATAAATCAAGATGAAAGATAGAAAAGGAGAGAGGGAATGAATGACAGAAGATTTTGAGATGTCAAAGATGTATAATAACTAGGTATCACATTCAAATGAGACAGACTGAGATCATTCTCCTAGCTGCCTGCACCCTAGCACAAGACTGACAGGAGAGTGTAGTATTCCAAGCCATGCTCCTCGATCTACCTTGGGAATAATCCTCTTTAGGTAACTAAACAGGATCGGGGCCTCCCTCTATTTATTATTCACATGGAGACATATATCTCAGCAACCCTAATCACGTCATTGGGAGTGACTGAGGCAGAGACTGGATACAAATGTACTTTCATGCATGGTGGAGTCTAGCTCCTAAGGCGCGTCTTCATCATCTCGAGATTGCCAAATAGCTCACTATTTCTGATTTGGGAAATAATCCAGAAGTTACAAACCGCATCTTCCAGCGTGTCTACACACAAAACAATTTATCCCGAAACTCTATAATGAAACGTCGTATAAAGAATCATTGTATAAATTCCAGGGTGTCCACACACAAGAAACGTCGTATAAAGAATCATTGTATAAATTCAAGGATGTCCACACACAGAAGAAAGTAATCCTGAAACTCTACAGGGAAATATTGTATAGGTGCGCAGTTTGCTATTGCGATCATGAAATGGAAGCGGAAATGAGAGGTCAGGTCTCCTTTCGCTCGAGGTCACATTAAGTCCCGCCCAGTTATACCGTTCTAGTTAGACTAGTTATACTAGTTACGTCCACACACAACACATTCCATGATTAGGTGTGATTAGGCGTGATTGGTTATACGACGTATAGTTAGTAAGCGTCCACACACACAATTTCATTGTATAACTATCGCGAAACAGTATAACTATCCCGGAACGGAATAACTCAGGGGTGATAGTGAGCATTAAAAAAAAAATAGGTTTTTTGTTTTCCCCTCAACCACGCCCCCCTTGAGTAAAAAAAAAAAAAAAGGATTCGCGGGGAAAAAATGGCATCTAACAACATTTCCCCCTTTCGAGTAAGAAAATTACGACAAAATTGGGGGGAAAATAGGGCAAAATAGGGAAGAAAAAAAAAATTGATTAAAAAAAAAAAATTTAAAAAAAAAATTAGGATTTTTTTTTTTTTTTTTTTAAATCGGGAAGTTAAAAAAAAATCGGGAAAAAATCAGGAAATATAAAACAAATCGAGAAACCAATTTAAATCGGGTTTTTATCAGGCCTGATAACTAATCACGCCTAATCACGGAAAATGTTGTGTGTGGACACGGGGATGATCAGTTCAAGATTCGACCTCGAAACTTGAAACTCGACCTTGAGAAATTAGCTCGAGATATTTTGCTCAGCGTTAACGCATAGTGCGAGTCTTCGGTCTGGTGATGACGCACCGGACAAATAGCTGGATATTTTGCAAACTATCCCAAGATATCTTGGGATGACAATCTCGGCCGAATATCTCGCTAATTGCAACTTCAGGCTGATGAAGACGCGAATTAGCTGGATAGTTTGCTGATCGGGATAGTTTAAATAGCGGGATATTTGGCAATCTCGAGATAGTGAAGACAGGCCTCTAGAGAAACTCCTAGAGGCCATGACTCACATTAATGTGGAGAAGGTCAACTGGCCCAAAGGAGTGGTAAATATGCAGGAGTGGTAAATATTGACGAACTATTAGCTATTTTTGTCTCTCTCTCGCCTTAAAGGTAGTATTTTACTTATAATGGAAGTACATGTTAGAACAAATAAGTCTCAGATGGAATGGGAAGTAAAATTGTAACTCCGGGGGGGGGGGGGGGGGGGGGTGTTTCACAAAGATCCTAAGTTGAACTTATCGATTAGTTAGACTTAACAATTATGGAAAGAAAGCTGTTAGCATCTTAGAAAATATTTTGTGAAACTTATTTTAAAAGGCATAACATGTTGATTCAAATCATTCATATTTTCTATTATCAAGGAGATTTCATGTTTTTGATGTGGAATTTATGAAAAGTCTAGAATACTTTTATTTTTGCTTTTGAATATATTTTATTTTAAGGCTACAAATGGCTCTCCATAATGTTTAAGTCTAACTTAAGTTAAGTTCAACTTAGGATCTTTGTGAAACACCCCCCTGTATAGTTACAATATCAACAATGTTGGGGTTGTTCATTCAGCACTAGGAACAGAATTGTTAATATTTTATTTTACAATCAACAACGATATCTCCTTGACTTAAACTTGATAAATTTCTCATCTTTTCAAAAATATATTTATTCATTCTTACATTCTCAGACAAATTAATAAATAAAGCAACTACTTAAGTTATTTTAAGTTATTTTAACCAGTGACCTGAAGGAAACATAAACTTTCAAACTGAATGAGAAGATTGGTTTAATGTGCTTCTTTAATAAGAAGGGAATGATTATTGCCATCATCATAAAATAAGGGATATTACATATAGATTGCCACTGGTGGGGGTAAAAGGGGTATATTTGTAATGAAATGAGTTTGCAATCGTTACAAACACTGATTTTGAGTAATTAATTAGCATAGGGGCACTTCTTCATTGCTTAAGGGATATTTAATGATTTTAGAAAATCTGAGGTTGTAAATATATTTTCTTTGATGGCGCCATGCGAACATAGCTTCTGCGATAAGGATCTGAGTTCTCCTTGCCTCTACCCCATCTGCACCTCACAGTGGTGTCAAGGTAGGGAATGAGGTGCTTCATTTAGACCGACATTAATTTTAATATGGGTTTACATCTCAATTAAAGGGGAAGTCCACCCTGATATTAATAAGTTGGTTTTCATAGAAGCAGAAAAAATGATAATACAGGTGAGTGAGAGTTCGAGCAAAAATGCCAGGGGAATCCTTCAAACTAACCCCTCTAGATGAGAGATATAATTTTAGACAGAGATCAACACTTGAAGGTCCCTATAACCTTTAAATTTCTGAAGTCAAATTTTATGTATTTTTACATGACAATAAATCATTATGAATCTTGATTCTTAAATCTATGACACATGGGCACCCACAAAGCCTTGAACTCTAAATCTTCCCCTCCCCCCTAAAAAAAAATTTTAAAAAAAACTTTTCTTACATTTTTTACTGAAGTCTTTCCTTACATTCAGGGTCTGTTATTGATAAGTCTGTTAAACAAAGATGTCCATGACAATATGAACAAAAGAAGTGCCTTCAAACCATTCATCACAAGCTACAAAGAGACAAACCAACATGAGAGGCTAGGCTACAGGTAACAGGTTAGAAGGTGATTCTGTTCTTACAGGTTGGATCAGAGCTTGTAAATATGCAATGTCTTTGACCACCCATCCTATGCATGCATGTATAAATAAAAGCCTTCAGTCACAGATGTGGGTCACACCAAGCCTCCACTAAGCATCTCCCAGCATCCACACCGCTCTAGAAATTTATTTCGGACACGATGCGGGGGGCATCTGATGCATCATAAACGTGTAAACTAAGCCGGGTATACTCTGGTCAGTTACTACCTGGTACTGGTAGGGATGCAATGCAGTGTAAAAGACACCTTCTTTGGTAATAGCCATGTGTGAGATATAAAAGGATGCCTCCACGCTGCGAATACTAATTACCTGACTCTCGCATCAATCTCCGTTGAATGACCAAAGATTGACTGCGATAAAGAGAAGCTTCATCTTCAAAGGGCTTATATTTCCTAGAATCTGATAGCTTCCAAACCCCCTGATTCTCTGATTTCCTTCATTCATGTAAATAAAACATCTTCTTCTCCTTGTGTTTCTATGATCTCTAAGTTTTTGTTAAGGCATCTTTTAAATGACCCTATCCACTATTTAGTTAAGAGAGATTACTTCTTGAGTACTTATTTACCATTTTCTGGGGGAGGGGAGAACGTGTGAATTGAGCATACTAGTAAATTGATTGTAAAATAATTGAAAAACCACATCAAACAGTTTGTTTTAATCAAATACTGTAAATGATAGAAATTTTACAAATATGAATATTTCTTCCCTCAATGTTTTCAATTCGCATTTGGATACTACTTAGAAAAACATCAAATACAATCCACAAATTTCTCTCTTTTCTTGGAGAAATGATTTGCCTTACTTTCATAACATTTGCAATATTTCATGTATACATCGTTTTCATACCCTCAAGATTAATTTTTTCAAAACTGCTGGCATATCAGAATTACTATGTATTTGCTGTCCATGATGCTCAATAATAAATTTGCTTTACAATTGCCATTAAAATGTTACTGAAAAAGAGGGTATTACAGTGATAAACAAGAGACTATTAAAATACATGACCCTAGTTGCGAGAGAAACAGAAACACATAGTGACAAGAAGCCATACAAAAAGGTACAAAACTAAAACCCATTATAGAAACCCAGCCATGCTGAAAATAATGTCCATACCTAATGAACCAAATACATATCTTTCTCTTCAGGTGTCAGCAGTTATCAATTATGACCTCCTTAGCAACAGTTGCTAGGGATGCCTGAAGGAGAGGCATTATTAATTTACCTCGCACTCAGACTAAAAGTATCCATTGTATAGCTAGCTATACAAGAATTGTATGGGTCTACAATAAGGAATATCCTTTTTTTTCTTCTAGTCTGATCGTCACAAAAATAACAAATAAATTTGTATATTGATACAAATGTTAAAGCATCATTTAGAAATAAAATGTTAATCAAGAATCTAGTGGGAACATGATATCTTACAATAAACGTATTAACTGGGCAGGCTTATCATGAGCATCCAATGATGATTAGCCAAGTGTCATGTCAACTGACCTGTTCAAACTTAGTTTCATTATAGGACGTTTCTTCATACAATTACAAAGTTATGTTGATACTCAACATGGTCCTTCGCTACATGACGAATCTTTGTGCAATGTTTCGGCATAAGTGTTTCATGTATATATATAGGATTTATTGAAATCAAAACATCAAAAACCAAGAGCAAACAGTCCAAAGACTGACAACTGTCTTGGGTACAAAAATATAATTTAAATCAAATATACATAATAAAATAGTAGTAATGAATAAATACATAAGTTACATAAGTTAAAATATCAAATAACTAAACTATTATCAATAAATATTGCAAAAAGGACATATAAACAATAAGTATACATCATTACAATTACGTCAAAAGATTGTTTGTCTGAACAGGCCATTATAGATGGTCACATTAGAATATAGATTGGTCTCTCCTATAGCCCGGTTGAATCCTGTCAAATCTAGAGGATAATGCAGCAAGCTAATCGATTTGATTAGAGTGTAGCGGGCGGGATGTGGGGGCGACAGTCATGACATTTCTCTTTATATTTGGATTCAATGATCTATTTTTATTTGTATCTTTGGTGATTATCTTCCCTGCCTTTTTACAATAATCATCTGCTGAGAGCAAGGAGGGGGCTATATCTCCCACACTTTTGCAGAAAGTAAACGCCCTTCTGTCCCTTTTACAGACAAGGTAAAGAAGTTTAACTGACGCATGCCAGTACTTCACTTTCTTCTTTCAAACTTGGTCTTTTCAATTGTACCACCAAAAAATGTTTTTCTATCATTTTTTAATATAAAATATCAATTTGTGCTCCTATTTCAGAGCAACTTGTTTACTTAATTGCAGTTTATGGTTCTAGATACTTTCCCCCATGGATATAAAAAGTTCTAACAAGGTTTATTTCATCAAGCACAGGAACAAGTGTACTATACAAACGTGAATCAAGTAAAATAAAATACATGATACATATTGTTTTTCAGTTTTGTTTAAATTCCTTGCTGGCCATAACTAATTCAACTCTGGCAATCTCCCTTATTAATCCATGTTATATATAATCCCCAAGACCATATCTCTGTTCTTTTCTCCCTCCCTCTCCCCCTAACTTTCCCTCTTGATCTGCTGCCAATAACTCTCCCTCCCATCCCTATTACTCTCTTTGCTCTCTATTATATTTCTTCCTCTCTGTCTCTTGCTAATCTTCGCCTACAGTGCCCCTCCCTCTTTGACAATCCAAAGGGCATTGCATGGCTACTCCATGAATTAAACAAGCTGGGTGCTGACTGTTTCTCTAGAAACCCTAATCAAAATTTTATGAAGACCATTGCAAGTCGAGAATAATAAACAGTTTGGGGACTCTGGTCATCATCTCTATCTCCTCCCTTGTCTTCAAGTGACAAGGAATTCTAGACATGCTGGTTGCAGTCTGTATAATCATGATTTGTTCACACTTTGTACACTCCTGCATCTAACAGACATTCCCTCTCCAGCTATGGTTGGATTAATATTTCAAAAAGGACTATAGATGCCTCAAGATACATGGGTTCAGAGCAAGAAGGGCATTAACTCTCTATGAAAGTATAGGAGTTAACGCGGCAATGCCCTTTTGGCTCCAAACAGACGATATAATAATAATAATAATAATAGCTAGTTCTTATATAGCGCTTTTCAGGACCGAAGGCCCTCTCAAAGCGCTTTACAGATATATATATTATTACAACCCGTTTGATAACCACTTTACACTACTTCTTCACACACTAATAAGGGTTCCAAAGCATTTCCACTGAAAGTACTACCTTGCTTTCCTCACTTTTTGGACTAGTTTT